TGATGAGAGAGCATGGAGCCGTTTCCTGGCCAATCAAGAAACCGGGCAGCGTGTAATGATGCGCTGCCCGGCTTCCTGATACAGGAAGTACTCGCCCAAATACTCGGTATCGGCACCGATACTAGTATCGGTATCGGTGCATCCCTAGACGCCAGCAGAGTGGAGGGGACAGTCACCCAGCGGGGTAAAGGTATGCCGGTGGCTTCCCTCTCCTGAAACTGTTGGGCTCTCGGTCCTTGACCGAGTGCCCCGACTTTTCAGAGGGGGTGACACCCCTCCAATTAAGTCGCCCAGGTGCGGGCCGCACCCCCCTTGTGACGCCACTGAATGAGACTTCCGGTATCGGTATTCGGTATCGGCGAGAAAACGTTATCAGTGCATCCCTAGTTTTAAAGATTTTTGGAATGTATGTTTAATAAAATAAGTGTCATTTAAATTTGCTGGCTGGTGCCGGTGCCTTGAAAGCCCGACATCTTGCGCATATCCATCATTGAGTAATCATCTAAGGGGATGCGGCACCCTTTACCCTCCTCGTTTTGGTCCCCAAACGTTAGTTTCCATTCGTTTCCTCCATTACCAGACAGCAGAACTCACAAGCCCCATTCTTGTTTTCGGCAGATACATTTTATTATATAGATTGTTATTGTACAAAGAATACATTGACAGCCAACAAAAAGAGAACTCAGACATATACAGTCGTGTATACAGTAGCATACAGTGGCGTAACAATCGCCATAGCGACCCAAGCGGCCGCTATGGGGCCCGGGGCCCAGGGGGGGCCCGGCCAGATGTCGAGCGGACCGCCTGGGTCGCTATGGCATCCTCTGCTGGTGGCTTTCACTGGCGGCTCTGACGAAGAATGCGCTGCTGTTCAGATCACTGACCGTAATCTGCGCAGCGGCGCGTTCGTCTCCAGAGCCGCATCTGAGTCAATGAGAGCCAGCAGCGGCGGGGGAGGAGGCCGGACCCGGCAGGGGAGGAGGAGGCGGGGGCCTGTGGTCGGCAGCAGGGGAGGAGGCGGGGCCCGGTGACGGAGAAGGAGGCGGGCCCGGAGGAGGAGGCGGGGCCCATCAGCTAGCGCAGAGGAAGAGGAGGCGGACAGGTAAGGAAGTGCGACCAGCCCACCTGAGGGTGACCCTGCAGAGCCCACCATAGAGAGCCGGCGCTATAGAGGAGGCGTCGGCTTATGCGGCTCTGCTCCCTCCGCTGCCGCCTCGCTTCCTCTAGCGCCGGCTTCGTTGGCACCGCTGATTCTCTCCCGCGGCTCTTCAAGTTCCCCCTTTACGCCACCGCCGGCCCTGGGAATGGTCACAACTAGGTCTTATTTTCGGGGGGAAACGCGGTAGTATAATGGGAGAGAAGTGTTCATTGCGGTGACCCGGTCCTCGGGGGAGGGCAGATGCTTCAGTAGGATTAGAGAAGCATTGGTTAGCAGTGTCTTGAAATCTCATAGTATACTGAGCAGTAACAGGAGGCACAGCTGGCTCTGCCTCTGGATAGGCAGAGCCAGCTGTCAATCCCGCAGCTGGGAGGATCTCGACAGTAATGTCGGGATCCGTTCCGGCTGCGGCGTCTCAGTATACCGCAAGCAGTAGCCCCCTGAGCTTTGGGTGACGGGAGGACGCTGGTTTGTGTTCTCCCGTGACCCGTAGGAGAACTATGGGGTAAAGCCCTGACCTCATAGTTCTCTTTTAATTTGGATAAACGTTTGTGAGGTGTTGCGCAATCTCAGACACCTCCCAGAAGCTCGGGAATATCAGTGCTTCATCTGTGAGGTAATTGGGAAGGTTTTGAGTTGTTTGAGTCCACGAGGAATGGGGAGAAGAACCATATGGGTTTAGGGAGGCCGGGCTGCAATAGCAGAGTCTTCAATGGATGTTGCCTCAGTGGTGTAGATGGGAATTGAGAGTGGAACGCATGTTTATTCTGCAGGTATCTACAAATCATCCCGTTAGGAACGCTATAGGCTGATTTGAAGGTATCAGAGAGTTCCCTTGGAAGGGACGTTTTACCAGTTTGGTTATTCCTACTCTAGTCCAAATCTGAGAGTCTGGTATGGTAAAGTGGGGGAGGATTTAGGCCGATTCTCTTAGCTTTACCTAGCAGCTCTCCTGGCTAACACTCTGCTGTCATTTCCCGGTGAGGCATGGGCCACCTCCAGCGCTCCAACTCTTGAGGAACCATTCCCATCATCCCAGGGCTGTTGGTTCCACAAGAGTTAAAGAGCTGCCCTGTCTTATCCTGCGTCCTGGAAGGACAATGTCTCCTGTTGGTTTGCGTCTTCAGCATTCATCTTGGTCCTCCTCTATGTTCTCCTCTGAAGGTTCGTCCACTGTGATGAGGATTGGGCATGGCCGAGGCTGCTCCATCTTCTTTTGCTTCGCAGAGGCCTCCAGTTTACGAGGAACTCTAGAGGCAACCTTGGGTGTGGGTGGTTCGCTTGCCCGGCTTTCCTTCTCATCCTCCGTGGTTTCCTCCTCATCGATACGTCCATCGGGGTCAATCTCACTGTAGTGGGCATTGACGTTAGGGGATCCTTCTCCTTTAAAGCGCACCAGATGATTGCGCGGGCCTCGGCCCATGAGATTTTTCATGCCAACGGCAGGGGAAGCGGCGGAGGAGAGGAAGCGACTGAGCATGGGGGTGCGGGCGCGGGGGAGGTTGGGGGTGGCGGCCACTTGTTGGTGTTGATCTGGGTCCCCAACGAGTCTGAAACAGAAGAACATGCTTGTTATCTATGATGGCTTTTTGCATCTGTGGGAGACCCTGCTGCCTCAGGTGTGAGAAACTCACTAGCAGAGCCGTAGTATACTGTATACACCAAACAATGCCCCCAAAACCATAGGTGACGGTGGTTAAGCCAAATTCAGGTACGTGCATTGCTTAAATACATTTAATGATTACAGAGCTGCATTCACGCATTTTAGAAAGAAAACGAGAAAAAAAGGAAGTGCCACGACCGGGGAGAAGAATTGTTGTGGACCAATCGGTGAAGCTTGGTTAATTGTTGGGAGTGGTCCGACTAGCTTGACGGTGATGTAGAGGCGAGCAGGTGGGTGCCTCTAGGGTGATGGTGGAGATCCCGAGGTCCCGAGTTGGTGCCAGGCTTTAAGAAAAGCTTGAAGGTCTATAGGGAGGAAGTGTCCGTTGCAAGAAGTGATGATGCCCAAGCCGGGAAGAACCACACCTGCTCGCCTCTACATCACCGTCAAGCTAGTCGGACCACTCCCAACAATTAACCAAGCTTCACCGATTGGTCCACAACAATTCTTCTCCCCGGTCGCGGCGCTTACTTTTTGTTCTACGGTTACATGTGTCGGACACCCCGGTCCTTACTATCGGGAATCCGCACACCAATACCACCCCCTACCCACACATACACTGAGTGGCCGGATTATTATATACACCGAGTGGCCGGATTATTATATACACCGAGTGGCCGGATTATTATATACACTGAGTGGCCGGATTATTATATACACCGAGTGGCCGGATTATTATATACACAATGGTGCCTGGGATCTAACAGTACCCGGAGGTCAGTATTTCTAACCTGAGTTGCAGAAAATGATGATACACTGAAGCAGAATAGTAAGTAACGGGAAGGTTTCATACCGCATGTCGAAGGTGGAGCCCATGAAGGACGGTTTCAGTGTCTCGGAGGCGGTGGCCACGGTGTATGGCGGCAGCGCCATCTGCTCATCCCAGTATTTGTCTTTCAGCATCGGCGGCAGGTTCTGGTACATGTCATCAACAGACAGGAGGGAGACCTGTACAGAGAGAGCAGCGGGGGACAACCCTCAGGAGGAGGATACAGGTAATAGCAGCTGGAGACATTTCATGGAACATGCCGGAAAGAGATCCAGAAAACGCGCCATGCCGGTAGTCCGGAGAACATAAGATATAAGTATATATTTCCTAAGCTCCTCAGCTCCACCCGGTGGCCATCATGCAGTATTGCATCACATTACATTCAACTTGAAATCCAAATATACTGAAAATGTTCATTTTTTTGCCTCTATTCGCCAACAACTAACATTCATAGAAAGATTTTCAGCACGAATGGCCCTGCAAATGGTCTATTATAGTTGCAATACTTCCTCAATTCCAGTGCTGCCCCATAAAGCTCACTACTCTCATCAACCAGCGCCACTCCTCATCCACTACTGGGCACTTCCTATAAGTGCAGGGTGTCATGGGCCCGCCCCGTGGGGTTGCACCACACCATCACCCTGCACTCACAGTGTATTATAAACAATATCCTAGCACCGGGAACAGGATCCTGCAGGTCACATGACCATCCGAAAGGTATATAAAAAAAAAAAGTAACAATACACACGGGGGAGGGAAGCTAAAAAAAGGGCTGTAAAGGAGAACTATGGGGTTAAGGCTTTTCCCCATAGTCCTCCTTAGGGTAACGGGAGGACACAAACTAGCGTCCTCCTGTCACCCTAGGCTCAGTATATAGGGAGCTACAGCTCGCGGTATACTGAGACTGACACGGCCGGGACGGATCCCGACAATTATGTCTGGATCCGCCCAGCTGTGTGACTGACCGCTGGCTCCGCCTATCTAGAGCTGTACCCGCCCCCTCCCCCGTCCATTCCGCCAGTCAGCGCTGGAGGATCGGAGCGGGGAGGGGGGAATCCAGCCCCTCCCCTGTCACATCAGAGAGCCGTGACGGGATCGAGAGGTGAGCGAACGCCGGTATGTGTTCGCTCACCTCCCGATCTACTGAGCCGACCTGCGACAGTCTCATTGTCACAGGTCGGCTAGAACTATGAGGTGAGTGAAAAGCCCCCCCCCCCTCATAGTTCTCCTTTAAGAGGCTATTTAAAGTGACCATGCACATAAATATGGATGGGCCTTCAATGAACACACAGCTGACGTGTGAAAATAAAAATGTGGCTTCAAAGTTCTCAAACCAGCAACAACATTCAACACAACAGACATTTGGATATTCTTATTATTATATATGATTGATATCGCGCCAATAGGTTGAGCAGCGCTTTAAAATATAAGGGGGAGACAATACAGTTACAATTCCGTTCAAGACAAGAGGGTTAGGAGGACCCTGACCCCAAGAGCTGACAATCTATATCCCTATTGTTGCAGCTTTCACATTCCTCACCTGCAGATTCCGGTCTATCAGTCGGTTTGTCTCAAAGTCATCATCATCCTCCCCGAATGGGTTGATGATTTGTTCCGCCACCTGAAACACGGATTTCACGCGTCACGTCAATACGACTTATACACATTGGATTATACATTGCGTGACGTCACGTGAACATTCCGTGTATTGTTTGTGTTCTGCAAAACCAACCTTCAGCCAGCCGGAGTAGAAGAAGAATTGGAGGAGGGTGAAGACGGGGACATACATGTCCAGCTGGTCTCTATTTCCCTCCAGGAATTGGCGTCCAATCAGGCAGGATGCGCAGAAAGAATATACCGCCACGGTGACAACCTGGAAGGGGGCAGATAGATTCCGTGTTATATAAAAGCTCTGAGAACCTTCACCTCTGACCTCTGAACCTTCACCTCTGAACCTTCACCTCTGACCTCTGAACCTTCACCTCTGAACCTTCACCTCGGAACTACAACTGGTCATAAGCTTCTGCTTTTGGAAATTGCCGCGGTCGTATTTTGGTAAAGTGCTCATAGTGCTAAAACCCAACACCAATATCCAACATGACCAATCATGACTCATCAATAGAAGCCTGTGTGTGCGTGGGAGCGTCAGCCCGCCCCCCGATCCTAGCCCTGACACCTAACTGAACCCCAATACCTTATCCTAGCCCAGAAACCTAACACCTAACTGAACCCCAATACCTTATCCTAGCCCTGACACCTAACACTTAACCAAACCCCTACACCAAATCCTAGCATCAGCGTTATACTGAGACGCCGCAGCTGAAGTGGATCCCGACAATTGTGCACGAGCGCCATCCGCGGCATTGCCCTATACACATACACCAAAGCAATAAAGATATAAAATGAAGTGGGATGAGAGTAATCAAGCACGTTATTTATCTCCGGTGCCCCACTCAATATGGCCGCCGCTTGAGTGGGGCACCGGAGATAAATAACGTGCTTGATGGCTGTGATCCGACTTCATTTTATATCTTTATTGCTGTGCTGTATGTGTATAGGGCAATGCCGCGGATGGCGCTCGTGCACAACAAATTTCTTGCCCAAAACTCGTAGTTCTAAGGAAACCGGAAGTCATGCGGTCCCAGAACTCGATAAGTTCGAACTTTGGATCGATCACCGGCGAGTATTCGGGGTTACAGACGTTACTGACCTGCGTGTACACCAGAGGGACGCTGATCCAATCATAATGGAAGAGCAGGCTGCACTTGGCTCGGTATTTGTTCAGCTCCTGACCAGCAAAACAATGAAAAGATAAATTATAAACCAATCAGATCGATCAGTTACATCTGCAGACATTATATATATTGTTGGAGGACATCTCTCTGGTCCCAAAATTAAACCACATATTCTAGATGAGGAGTTCCCGTTTGTAGGTGTACAGCTTTCATCCCACAGATTGGTGCCGTGTCACCTGGACAATTGATATGGTAAATGATCTGCTGGGGCCCCTCTCTGTCCTTGCCAAGAGCCCCTGTCCCGTGCTGATGGCCAGGGTTGCCACCTTTTCTTCCAGTCTTCCAGCGAAACCCGAACGCGCTAGTGACGCGCTGACATTTTTTATGGCGAATGAGTTGTGGCTTATTCATATGTAAATCGCGCCGCCCATTCATATGTAAAAAAGATGGCATGTGTCATGGAGTTAGATGCATCCTCTGTATTGTCAGGGGCAACTGCTGACAACAGGCAGGGCAGATGCCAGAGCGGCGTGGATTGTCACATGGATGGTCAGAGCAAACAGCAGACAGTAGCAGGCTGATGGCAGTGTCCTCAGTTTGTCAGGATAAGCACAGACTAGCTGAGGACTGATGCAGTCCGAACGATGCACAGGAATAATTCAGGTATCCAATGACAGGCATAAGATAGAAACAGACAGATCTCTATCCAGGACATACACAGACAGACAAACCCTATAAGATTGAAGCTGTGGCCTCACTTTAAAGCCTACTAAAGAGCGCAGGTGTGCACAACACAGCACTGAGCTGCAGTACTGAGCTATGACCAGCAGATGGTGAAGGGTCAAGGCTGATGTATACAGCATGTTTGCTGGTGCTGTAAAAACACTCCTACAGGAGCTAAGGATGAGACTGGACATTAATGGACGTGAAAGGCCAAAATCACAATGGGATGGGGGATGGGGGGGGGGGCCCAGTCACAGCTGAGAACCTGACCCTTCCTCCAACAAAATGGCAGCCTGTAAATGTACAGCGTTTAGGCAATGCCAGGGTTAACTATGGCGACCGGTGCAGTGTAGCTAGGGGATGTGGGACAATCTCTGCTCATCTATGTGCGACCTTCACAGCAACACCGAGAAGTTTTATCACAACATGAATATCTGTCATCAGAAGATCTGCAGAGACGATGAGGCGACGGGCGGCTCCCAGGAATGTGAAGAGGAAGGAAATATATCCGCCCAGAAAAGATTTATAACCAATCAATAAATCTTTTATTAACATTCAGATTACTGCTGTCACGTTTTGTTACATTCGCTGCGACACCTCCAATTAGGGACGCACAGATACTTTTCGAGTACCAGCGCCGATACCAGTGCCGATACCAGTGCCGATACCAGCGCCGATACCAGTGCCGATACCAGCGCCGATACCAGTGCCGATACTCTGCATTTTCACTAGAACTACACGGGTTGCAGCGGGGACCGGGCTCCGTCGCTACACCGCTGTCCTGTAATCATTAGTCTGTATTGTTCTAGAAAAACTGTCACATGAGACGAAACACAAATGTATCAGCACTCGTACTCGCCAAACTGGTATTGGTGCATCCCGACTATTTATATTTATAAAAACAAAATCGTACATTATAACAGAGATGTACAAATCCCGGGAGCTCCGTGTGCTCCTTACACATGACAGCGGCCTCCTAATTTTTGAATTTTTGTCTAGTCCAGTCTTGGAGCTCAAAAGTATCGGTACCTGTACTTGGTATCTGTGCAACCCTACCTCCAATGTATCAATTCCATCTATCTATGTATCTATCATCTATACAAAATCATTCAACCCTCCCCCCCTGCAATTCAGGTTTATAGACATTCAGCTGTTTCCAGTGAAAAGATCAAACAAAAGCAATTAAAATCGGTCAACACAACGAATGTTTTAAGCAGTTCCCCAAATTCAACATTTCCTCATCCTGCCTTCTCAGAAATCTGGTTGCAGCTGTTGATAGTGCCT